GATGATTAGATTCTTATAGGATGCATGGTTTCCAGAGAGATCCTCCCAGTCAGCAAGTCATTATTTTTTTGGTAAGCTAAATTTCTTGAATTTTATTAAGTCTCCTTTATTTAGGCTTTTGCTATTTTTTTATTATTATTAAATTTTATTAGTTTTAATGAACATTTACAGAGATTTTGGGTTTTCATTCATTCATTGTTGCACTGAGGCTTTTGCTATTTTTGCTTTCATTATTGTATTAACTAACTCATTGTTAAAGTTAGGGCCAAAAATGTGTCCTGCATTATTCCTTACAATTTTATGATTTTTAGGTTGCACATGATTTTTATGACTTAGATTATACATTTAAAAATTTTTTTTTGGCCTGTGTATGGTGTGAGGCATAGATCCTGTGTAATTTTTTTGCATGTGAAAATCAGTTTTCCCAGCAGGATTTGTTGAAGAGAGACTTTATTTTTATTTATTAAATGGCTTTAGGTCCTTTTGTCAAATGTATGAGTTTGTTTCTAGACTTTCAGTTCTGTTCCACTGGTCTTTTTTTTTCTGTTATATCAAGCTGTTTTTTTAATGCTCACTCCTCATTTGTTGACATGGTTAGTTCTGGAGACCGGGTTGCTATGTAAAAATTGACACAAAAACAGAGAATGACCACATGATGATACGGTGTGGAGGATGACTACATTGTATAGAACCTCCAAATTACATCATTATATCTCTTCCAGGTTATATTACATAACTCCCAGACCATTGAAAATTGTAGCCCAGTAAAGTTAACATATAACCATAATGTTCCAGCCGGTGTCACACACTGCATACTTTGAAGATTGTTATTGTATATTATGCAAAATAACTGGATATTAAGTATTTTACTATTATCATAAATTCTAGGCTTGCCTCTGGAAACTATGAACATGGGGAAATGATGAATTATACAAACATTCAGGTCTTTTGTTCTAGGGTCGCTGTGAGTCATCTACGACTTGATGGCACCTAACAACAACAACGACATAGAATAAAATAGTTTAAGTGAGGAGTAAGCTTTCTATTGTGATATTTTACATCTATATGTGGATTCTTTATCTGGTCCTAGGGTACTATATTAGCGTAGTATTTGCTTCATAGAATGAATTAGGGAATCGTACTTCCTGGCTCTTTTAACTTTTTTAAACACTTTTTTCCCAAGTGTGTTGTGAGCTAAACATTAAGTTTAACTGTAGATTTCTTGATCTCAGAATTAAAATGCAAAACATGTATAAGATTTAAAAATGATACTCCCTATGGTTTACATGCTATGCTGCCAGCCAGGAATTAAATGCAGTAGTTTTTCATTATAAATGTGTCAAATACTCTTGTGAGTTA